AAGGCAGGGCCCCCTCTTCCCCCATGGTGGCGTTCCAAGACCACCTGGGCTCTCCATTTTTTTAAAAAAGAGTCATTCCCCTCAGCTGCAGTGTGGCTGCAGGGAACCCAAGCTGGGACAAGTGTGTACCTCCAGGTGGGCATGCCGAGCTTTTGTTTTATAAAGAAAGCTTGGCATAAGAAAATGTATTGTGTTGGCCTATGGCTAACACAATACATTTTCTTATGCTAAGCTTGTTTTAAATGTAGATAGTTGTGAAGGAAAAGAATATGGTCCTTCTTTGGCCCACTCTGTTTCCTTTCCCTTCAGCGTTGTTGTGGCCGCTATAAAACTTAGTGTATGTGTGTGGGGGGGAAGGATTTGCATTTCCTTTGTAACATCCACATTGTTTGTTGGTTTTAATTCAGATCTTTATACTCTGCTGTTCTCCCCAGTGTGGAGCAACCGACACAACTCTCTGCTCCATTTCACCCTCACAACAACCACCGTGTGAGATAGGCTGGCCCAAGATCTCCCAACGAGCGTGTGTGTGTGTGTTTTCAAACCAGAGTTTCTCAGATGTTAGTCTGACGCTAACCACTGTCTTGCCTCGGAGATGCAAGCTGCCTTGAAGTGCGCCAGGGAGTTCCTGGGAACCTGACAGCTGCTTGCTTACCCAGGGAAGAGAGCCATAAAATGCATCAAGAGGTTAAAGAGAGCAGAAATGCATTTTCACTGTGAGAGAATCATTTGCTGTACCTGTCACGGAGGGTAAGATGGATAGCTGTTGTAAAACCTGATCTGGATATTGAGATATTTGGGACGTGGGGCTTTCCACTGGCAAAGACAGGAAGGGGTAAAAGATTGGTAACGTCCATTAGTCTGTTCCGATGCTGGAGATTGGATTTCCCCTGCATGGAGCAGGTGGGGCCAGAATTTGCATTTGCTTCACAAACATCCAGGAAGGGATGTCAGAGGTAACTCTTCTGCCTTATAAAGTTCAGCTTAGTGTTATGTTTTTACTGGTTTTCTCCTTAGATCTGTAACCAGTAGACTTGATAGTATTTTCCCTGTCTTGTGTTCTAGCTGAATCTACCACAACAAAATTTGCATGTTTAAAAGAGCGGATTGTGATTCAGAGTCTGCCCTGCGTGCCTTAATCACTCGCTTGCACTAAACAGTCACGCACAGGAGAAGGGCAGATGTAACTGGGAATCTCTGCCCTTTGTGCATGCTCAGAGGCAGCCTTTACTGGTGTCCCCCAAGTCATGTCGGAGGCTGGGTTTTTAATTTGGGGTGCTGGCTCGAAGAAGAGGAACACGTTTTACATGCGCACACAACATGCAAGTAAGCACACATAGTAGTAGTAAAATTTATTGTGTAGCCAATGGCCATTACAATTTAAAATTTAAACAATATACAAAGTAAGCACACATAGACCCAGGGTGGGTTTATGAGAACCACTACTCTGTGCTAGTTAGAACTTGGCAGCAACCTTTCATTCTGATGTACTAATATCTTTTTATTTAGTGGGAGTCTTTATATGGGTGGGAGTATTAAAAATGTGAATCTTTCCCATCTACATTCTGAAAATAAGCTTAATCCTGCCACCACAGAGTTTGCCTCCTTCATTCTGTTGCATATCTAGACCAGGAAGAACATGCTAGAAGAGAAGAGAAGAGATTGGATTTATACCCCACACTTCACTACCTGAAGGCGTCTCAGAGCATTTTACAATCCCTTTCCCTTCCCCTCCCCACAACAGACACCCTGTGAGGTAGGCGGGGCTGAGAGAGCTCTCTCTCGAGAACTGCCCTTGAGAGAACAGCTCTGAGAGAACTTGTGATTGGTCCAAGGTCACACCATTAGCTGCACGTGGAGGAGTGGGGAATCAAACCCGGTTCTCCCAGATTAGAGTCTAAGCTCCTAACCAGTACACCAAACTGCTCGAGGGGGCTCCAGACACCCCCCTCCCCTGTAGCAGCCTCTTTGGACCCCTCTCATGTCTTCTATTTTATAGGGATTGGTTTTGGGGGGGTTGGTCCTAACAAGAAGTATTATATAGCTTTACTTTGTAAAAATATAACTTTATAATATCAGACCTAATGAGGAACAGAGGTGTTGTATAGCGGGAAGGTCACCTTCTTTCAAGGAACCTGGTGTTTGGAGGATCCAAAGAGGTAGAAAGTTACGTGCAGTTTGCATGCTTTGGAGAAGTGCTAAAAAGCACTTTCTTTGCACTCACAGTTACAGAAAAGAGATTTCCCCGTCTCACTCAAAACACCTCAATGAGGAATTTCTTCATTTCCAACCTTCTTGACTTTCCAGTTGAGCTGTCAAAAAATTGATCGCCACAGCTGTTGATTAATTAAAGTGGGCTAATAAGTGATACTTTTGCTTATCTTCAGTGGCATCCTGATCCAAAAGAAGCAGGAACAAATAATTTTGTCCCATGGTGTAGAAACATGTTGTCTTCTTTTCTGGGTCTGACACACGTAAGGGACCGCCTCTTCCCATAGACACCTCGGAGAGCGTTACGCTCTGAGAGTCAACATCTCCCGGTGATCCCTGGCCCAAAGGACGTCTGCCTAGCCTAAACCGGGGCCAGGGCTTTTTCTGCCCTGGCCCCCACCTGGTGGAACATGCTCCCTATTGAGATCAGGGCCCTGCGGGATCTTATTCAATCCCGCAGGGCCTGCAAGACGGAGCTCTTCCACCAGGCCTTTGGCTGAGGCAGCGGGCATCCACAAATGGCCCCAACAAGGCTGCCATCTCCCACCCACTGGTAACCGGCTAGTTACATCTATGGGCCAGATTCTCCCTATGGCAAGCATGACTACTGTTTTTATATGTTTTGATCTGTTTTAAATTTTATTGTATTTATTAAATTGTTGTAACCCGCCCTGAGCCCGTTTACGGGATGGGCGGGATATAAATGCGAAAAAATAAATAAAATAAATAAATAATGCAGCTGCTGGTGTGACCTTGGGTCAGTCATAAGTTCTTTCGAAGCTGTGCTCTCAAGGGCAGTTCTTGAAAGGGCTCTCTCAGCCCCACCTATTTCACAGGGTGTCTGTTGTGGGGAGGGGAAGGAGATTGTAAGCCGCTCTGAGACTCCTTCAGGAAGTGCAGGGTAAGTCCAATCTCTTCTTCTTGAGAGCCAGTCTGGCGTAGCGGTTAAGTGCGCGGACTCTAATCTGGGAGAACCGGGTTTGATTTCCCCACTCCTCCACTTGCACCTGCTGGATGACCTTGGGCAAGCCATAGTTCTGGCACAGCTGTTCTTGAAAAAGAGCAGTTTCTGTCAAGAGCTCTCTCAGCCCCACCTACCTCACAGGGTGTCTGTTGTGGGGAGGGGAAGGGAAAGGAGTTTGTAAGCCGCTCTGAGACTCCTTTGGGTAGTGAAGGGTGGGGTATAAATCCAATCTCCTCCTCCTCCTCCTCTTCTTCTTCATCATCATCGTCATCATCTTGTGTAGCCCCCTCCTCAGTTGTGTGAGCCCAGTTGGGTTGACATCAAAATTCTGTTTGTAGTACTGACCAGAACTTCTGATGTTTGTGGTGCAGTGGCTATAGCCAGACTAGGATCTGGGAGGCCCGGGGTCAAAATCCCCACTCTCCCATGGGAGGTTTTGGAGTGCCATGGGCCAGTCCCAAATGAGGGCAGCCAACCTCCAGGGTAACACCTTGAGATTTCCCGCTACTACAGTTGACCTCCAGATGACCAAGGTCAGTTCCCCTGGAGAAAAATGGCCGCTTTGGAGGGTGGACTCCATGGCCTTGTACCCTGCTGAGGCCCCTCCCTTCTCCAACCCCTCCCTCTCTCCCTCCCCAGGCTCCACCCCCAAAATCTTCAGGTATTTCCTAACCCAGAGCTGGCAATCCCTATCCCACAATCCCTATCCCTATCCCTCACAGGGTTGTTGTGAGGATAAAATGTAAGAGAGGAGAAATGTAAATAATGGTGGGTTGCCACTGAGGAGAAAGGCAGGGTGTAAACCAAGTATAGATGTTTATATCGCTAGGATAAAAGGCTGTGCATTCTCAGAATATTTGTGTTATCTTTCCTTCTGGCTTTTGTCGTCCTACCTCTCACAGTATATGGGCCAAAGAATGGTCTTGTGAGGGACACGTGAGAACAGGTCAGGCCGTATGTGTTGGATGGGAGCTCTCCTTAAGCAGCGCCGAGCTCTTTCAGGGAAGGAGGTGTGTAATTCCTAAGTGGAACAACAGACTTCCTCGGGAGGTGGTGGGCTCTCCTTCTTTGGAGGTTTTCAAACAGGGGCTAGATGGCTATCTGACAGCAATGCTGATTCTGTGAACTTAGGCAGATCCTGAGAGGGAGGGCAGGAAGGGTTGCATCAGTGCTTAGTTCTCGTGGCCCTTTCTTACACACCCAGTGAAATGCTGATCGCCACGTTGGGGTCAGGAAGCAATTCTTCTCCAGGCCAGTTTGGCTGCGGATCCTGGAGGTTTTTTGTCATCTTCTGGGCATGGAGCAGGGGTCACTGGGCGTGTGTGTGGGTGGGGGAGGTATTTGTGAATTCCCTGCATTGTGCAGGGGGTTGGACTACATGACCCTGGAGGTCCCTTCCAACTCTGTGATTCTATGAATTAATAAATATGATCCAATAGTGGGTGGTGTGATCTTCAGTGTGAACCTAAGCGGAATTACACCATGCTAAGCCCCTTGACGTCAAGGGATGTAGGAGGGTCTAACTCTGTTCATAATGTCACTGATGTTCCCCATCTCCCTCAACTTTGTCATTTTTGTTGGAGCCCACCCAAACCCCCTAAAGTAGATTGTTCTTCTATATTTATTCCCCATGGTAGCCCTGATTCTACTATTGAGAGGAATAAACAGGTTCTGTGGGTTACGTCCAGCAATTCCTGTATAAACAGTAGACCATTAACAGGATTCTTATGCATCCCACAAAACTACGAAACCCTAAGATCCTTGTTGAACAGTTACCTCAGTGCCACCTGAGAATCATTTTTATTTTGGGTTTTCTGTTTTGCAGGGTCTCCTCTACCGAAAGCAGAGGCCTACTTCGGCTCGACGAGGCCTGTCTTGGTTGTGCCGGACGGAAACTCCGTTTTGCTTCCTTTCCCCCCAGCTCGGCTTGAGGAAAGGCCCAACGGCTCAGAATGAGACAGCTGAAAGGGAAACCCAAAAAAGAGACCTCCAAAGATAAAAAAGAGAGGAAGCAGGCGATGCAAGAAGCGCGGCAGCAAGTCACGACCGTGGTGCTTCCGACGCTGGCCGTGGTCGTGCTTTTGATCGTGGTGTTCGTTTACGTGGCAACCCGCCCAAACACAACCGAATGACGCCATTTTTGAATTCTGTAACTTTGGGTCTTCCCGCTCACCTGCGACCCTGCCAAGAGCCAAAAAAGAAAACCAAGAAGAGGAAAAAATCCTCTTCTGACCCCCCCCAGTCATTAACTATTCTTTGACAAAGGAATCTTCTTTTTTTAATCTTCTTTCTCTGACTTGATTCAAGCTCCACAGTATCTCTTTCTCTCGGAATATAATGTGTAAAACGTATTTGCTGCTCCGCAAAAAAATTTGCGTTTTATGGTCCCACTCATGTGCCTTCTAGACTTCAACTTGGGGGGGGGGGGGAAGATTTCCTTTTATAGCCCTGTGTCGTAAGAGGGGATTCCTTTTTGCTTTCTCAGTTTGTATCAGTCGGCTTCAAATGATTGGCGGCGTTGTTGGCAGTGTCCGTGAGCTTGTGTCTGTTCAACTTTCCACAGCTTCCAAAGAAGTGAATTTTCCCTCCCTTTATTGATTATACAATGGCATTTGAAATCATTTGACTAAAAGAAAAAAATATTTATTTTTGGAATAAAAAAGACGAGTCTTGCAGGAAAAGTCTCCATTTTGTGTGGCTCCGAAATACTTAACCTGTGTCACAGGCATAAGCAACCCTGACACGCTAGGCTGTTTGATTGGCACCCAGGACCAGATCTGTGCCGTAACACATGAGGCACTGGCAGGACTGCTGGGGGCAGTGGTACGGGAGAAGGCACCAGACATGGTGTATGCCCATCGTAGCTTCCCAGACCTGTTGCAGCCACCAGCAGTGTCCAAAGCAAATTCTTGAGTTACTGGCAGTGCTGCTGGAACTTGGCTTGTTCTGATCATGTCCAGCCAAATACCCTCCTCATCCACCTCCCCATTTTGGCTGCCTGCCTACTAACGTCTTCACAGGTAGATGGTAGCATTTTTTTCAGCAGACTCTAATCTGGGAGAGTCGGGTTTGATTCCCCACGCCTCCACATGCGGCTGCTGGTGTGACCTTGGGTCAGTCACAAGTCCTTTCAGAGTTGTTCTCTAAGAGCAGTCCTCTCAGAGCTCTCTCAGCTCCACCTGCCTCACAGGGTGTCTGTTGTGGGGAGAGGAAGGGAAAGGAGATTGTAAACTGCTCTGAGACGCCTTCGGGTAGTGAAAGGCGGGGTATTAATCCAATCTCTTCTTCTCTTCTTCTGTATTGTGTAATGTTTTGCATTAAATGCTAGCCAGAGTATAAACAAAAGAGCCTTTTCTTCCTTGTGAGGCTTCACCCATGAATAATTTAAGGTAATTTTTAACATGTTGCCGGATTAGCTCTTGATGAAAGCCATCGGAAGTGGTAATGGCAGCTTCCAATGATTAATTTTTTTTAAATAAAAAATAGTCCTTTCACAAGCGGTGGCAATTTACTGTTGTAGTCTTTTTGTTCGTTTTAAAAATGTCGGTGATGTGGATATCATGGACTGCTAAAAAGACAAAGAAGTGGGTTCTAGGTTGAATCAAGCTTGAATTCTCCCTGGGAGCTACAATGGCTAAACTGAGACTATTATACTTTGGTCCCATTATGAGAAGGCAGGAGCCAGTTTGGTGTAGTGGTTAAGTGCGCGGACTCTAATCTGGGAGAACCGGGTTTGATTCCCCACTCCTCCACTCGCAGCTGGCTGGCCGGCCTTAGGCAAGCGATAGTTCTGATAAGAGCTGTTCTTGGAAAAAGAGCTGTTTCTGTCAGAGCTCTCTTAGCCCCGCCTACCTCACAGGGTGTCTGTTGTGGGGAGGGGGAGGGAAAGGAGTTTCTAAGCCGCTCGAGACTCTGAGTGAAGGGCTGGGTACAAATCCAATTTCTCCTCCTCCTCCTCCTGAAAAAACAATCATGCTAGGGAAAGTTGAAGGCAGCAGGAAAAAAGGAAGGCCCCAAATAGGATGGATTGATTTAAGAAAGGAAGCCTGTAAGAAAGGCTGTTAACGATAGAACTTTTGGAGGTCATTCATTCATAGGGTCACCATAAGTCGGAAGCAACCTGACGGTGCATAACACAAAGTCCTTTGCAATAAGAACAAGAGGAATTGAACTCTCGAGCGGGGTACAGAATTTGAATTCAGAGCAGGGAGAGGTAAAGATCAGGAGAGCAAAGTCATAAAACCTCTAAACTGGACACCTAAAGCTATGCGGAGAGAGGATGCCAAGGGGCTTTTCTACACTGAGATTAAAACTCTGAACAATGCTAATGTAGATCTTTTGAAAAAAACTTTGGTTTCTTTTATTCCAAAAAATAAGAAAAAGAAGGGGGAAACACTCAGAATGCAGCAACTAATCTAAAGAAGAACATAGACCTTGCCTCTCTGTAGAACGTGGAGGAAATTCTCCTGCCAGCCGGCAGTATGTTGAATGAGACCTTGGGGCCCTCAACTCAAGGCTCTGGAGTTTTACTTTTTAAAAATTTATTTAACTTATACCCTGCACCCTCTCCCCATGGGGGACTCGGGGCAGCTGACAGCATTTAAAAATACAATAAATACAAATACAAGTAAATAAATGCAGTAAATAGAGCAATAAAACCAATTAAAACATCCACTCAAAAACAAATTACTCCAAGGAATTGGAACGACTGGCCAGCTCCCTGGTTTGTAACGTCAGCCGAAGGCTGCAGGAACCAAAGCAGCCTCGCATGCCTCACAGGAGGCTGGAAGATCCTGCAGGGCACAAACCTCCCCGGGGAGCTGATTCCAGAGAGAAAGGGCAGCCCCTGAAAATGCCCTTGCTCTGGCAGTTGACCAGTGGGCAGTTTGTGGGCCAGGGACCTGCAGAAGGCCCTGCAAGGATGATCTAAGGAGGCGATGGGGTCTTCCAGGGCCCCTCATTATGAGAGCCAGTTTGGTATAGTGGTTCAGAGCGCAGACTCTAATCTGGGAGAACCGGGTTTGATTCCCCACGCCTCCCCATGCAGCCAGCTGGGTGACCTTGGGTCAGTCACAAGCTCCTTCAGAGCTGTTCTCTCAAGAGCGGTCCTCGAAAGAGCTCTCTCAGCCCCACATACTTCAGAGGGTGTCTGTTGTGGGGAGGGGAAGGGAAAGGAGAATGTAAGCCGCTTTGCGACTCCGAGTGAAGGGCGGGGTATAAATCCAATCTCTTCTTAATGAAAGCTTTCAAATTCTAAAAGCCTGTTTTTTAAAAAAATCCAGATGGGCAGTGCCCCACCCTGACTATAACCCTGGGGGCAGATACAGCTGCCTGGAGGCACCCTATCTGAGCTAGGCTTAGCTCTTCAGCTTTTCAGGAAGAAGCTTTCTCTGGATCTGCTGGTCTGAGATCCCCCCCCCCCAACCTGGAGCTGCCCGAGCTCAGAAATTGGCATCTTCCGCCTCCTGTACATGCTCTTCTGCTTTTCTTAGAAGTTCACCTTTGCCTTGCCTTGCACGGTAAAATAGAAGCAAGCTCTTTGTAATTATACAAGAAAGAAGCAGCGGTCAAAAAGTCTGCTTCTAACTTTGTCGGTCAAAGGTCCTGCAACTCTCCTTTGCTCTTTTTTTAACTCAAGGGGGGGGGAAAACCTGATATATTCCAGTCTCCAGACTTAAAAAAAAAAAAAAAAGTGCTTCAGTGGTAGGACTTCAGACTGTTTCTGGGCACGGAGTGGCAGAAGTGGAACTGAATGATTGATTGGAATCATTTGAGCTGAAAAATCACACCGAGCAATTGCATCCCCCGGCATCACGTGACGGCAGCTGCCAAAGGTACTCATTACCCGATAAAGCCGTTCTACATATATTACAGCAAGCCTTCCTTGAGTGCCAGTTGGCTTTAGAACTGCGATTGTTATTAGGAGCAAAATTCCTAAGCATGGATCCCTGTTTTGATTCAAAATGCTTAAAAAACACCCACCCACGAGGCTTTAATGGGAGGCCATTTTCTGTTCAGTTGGAAGAAAATAAAACCTGAGAAATATTGGGTAGTTCAGGTTTTTTTTAAATGGGGTGGGGGAGACCCTGGCTTTGTCAAGCCAAAAATGCTAAAGCCATTGGAAAGTGCCCAAGAGTTCCAAGGCTAAGAGAGAAATTTTATGCAATCCTGATAGAAGAACAAAGTTCCAGTCCAGTGGCACCTTTAAGACCAACAAAGTTTTATTCTGAGTATAAGTTTTATTCAAGTATAAACTTTTGTGTGCATGCACACTTCTTCAGATACAAAGAAATGAAAGTTACAAGTCCATGCATATAGAGAAGATGAGATTGGATTTATACCCCACTTTCTGTCACTTCACTTGGAGTCTCAGAGCACTTTACAATCCCCTTCCTCTCCCCACAACAGACACCCTGCGAGGTAGGTGGGGCTAAGATAGCTCTTTCAGAACTGCTCTTGAGAGAACAGCTCTGAGAGAACTGTGGCTTGCCCAAGGTCACCCAGCAGCTGCATGTGGCAGAGTGGGAAATCAAACCCAGTTCTCCCAGATTAGATTCTGTGCTCCTCACCACTACACCAAACTGGCAGATTAAAGTTGTTCGAAAGATGCAGGGACCAAACTAGAATAACAAACTTACTTTATATGGTCACCATTTGTTTGTGTTGAATTCTGGGGAGAAACATGCTTTCATGCACACAAAAACTTCTACCTTGAATAAAACTTTGTTGGTCTTAAAGGTGCCACTGGACTCAAACTTGGTTCTGTTGCTTCAGACCAACATGGCTACCCACCTGAATCTATTCACAGTCCTGATATGTGAGACTATTTGACCCCTCAGGTGGGATCCTACTGGCGTGTCCCACCTTCTTTTATTTTTTTTAATTTTACATCATTTCTAGTCTGCCTTTGTCACATGGACTCAAAGCAGATTACGCAGAACGAGTCAGTGCAGTCAACAAAATGGGACATTCAATAACTATTTCATTAGGATATCAGAAGACTGGAACCTCCAGGAAGAACAGGCGCATAGCGCACGTATTCACACGACACATTAAGCGTACAGATATTACATAACAGGATTGGACTTACAATGCACTGTCTACATCAGTAAAGACCATAATGCTGATTTGGTGAACTTAAGCAGACCATGAGAGGGAGGGCAGGAAGGGTTGCGTCACTGCTTAGTTCTTGTGGCCCTTTCTTACATATTCTACTTTGTGAGCTACTGGCATTAAACTTGTGAGTGGGCGATCTGGCTGCTACCTAAATTAGTTTGCTCTGGAGCCATCCTTCCTGAGCCAAGACAAAAATGAGTGAGCTAGAGGCTAAAAAATGTGAGCTAGCTCACACTAACTCAGCTTGGAGGGAACACTGGTGGGGAGGTATTTGTGAATTTCCTGCATTGTGCAGGGGGTTGGACTAGATGACCCTGGAGGTCCCTTCCTGCTCTATATGATTCTAAGTCCCAATCATCGATCCAAGTAGGCTTGTGAAACCTGCTTCTTTTATAAAGGCTCTGTCAGGAACAACGGAGTGGGCAGGAAGAGTCTCTCTTGAAGAACCGGGAGAAAATGATTGCTGAGTGCTTGGAGAAGAGTCTATAATAAAGGTTCAGAGTCTGAATCTCTTTCGATGTAAATTGGTGCCAGTGTGTGTGTTTTAAATTATTATTGTAAGCAATAGGACTTATAATAAACCGACTACTGCACAAAGAACTAAAAAAAGAAAAGTCCCTGGCGAAAGGCTCACGATCCAATCCGAGTATTGACACCGTCCGGGAAGGGGTAGGGGAGGCCGAAAGGGAATGTGTAAAGGCTGGTGGAGGTTTCTTTCGATAAGCCCCACGGCCTTTGTAAAAGTGGACAGTCGCTGTCGCAGATCGAGGGCTTGAGTTTGTTGTTAAAAAAGCAGAGAAATGTTTAGGGAGGAGGATCTCTTAGGCTACGATCATACACATGAAATAATCCACTTTTGATGCCAGGTCACACAGTAAAACCCAGTTGGAAAATGCATTGAAAGCGGATAGAGAGTGGATTATTTTGTGTGTGTGTGATCGCAGCCTTTAAGAACTTTGCAAGGAGGG